GGGGAAGATGGGAATGTCGTCAACACCAAGTCTTTGGTCTGTCTCTTATACACATCTAGATGTGTATAAGAGACAGGTGTGTGTGTGTGTGTTTTGGGGGCGGGGGCGGGGGGCGGTTGTTAATTTATTGTGTTATTCTTCTGATTTTGAGTTGGGTTTGGTTTGGTTTGGCTTGACTTGGTTTGGTTCGTGTGGAGTTTGAGTTTATTAGGGGGGGGGTGGTGTTAATTTGTTGACATTGTTGTGTTATTCTTCTTATTTCGGCTTGGCTCGATTTTGAGTTGGATTTGGTTTGGTTTGGTTTGGTTTGGTTTTTGTGGAGTTTTGAGTTTGTTTTCTGGAAGCAGGTTTTTTTCCGAAATGGTAGTTTCAAACGGCACGTTATCTTTCTAGGTGGTCTTTCTGATGGCCTGCTTGCCACAAGGTAAGGATTCTCGTCCTCGTTCACATTCACCCTCTCATGCACTCCTGTCTACTTCGAAAATTCTCTCATGTTAGTTCCATCCATCATTTCTTACAAGACGAAAGGAAGATTTAAGAGTGCTGCTCCTTTTTTTGCCCCCTTCTCGCCCTCTGCTTTCTTTTGTTTGTTTGTTTTGTTTTGATTTTAAAAGGGTGACCACTGTGAGATGTCATCTCTGAGCTGACCAGCCTCAGGTCAATTCAGAGTTATTTTCACTCATCTGATTGCATTAGACTTTGAAATGCGCTCAAGGAACGAGCCCCCACTGGGCCCCTATCAGACATACACCTGTCTCTTATACACATCTAGATGTGTATAAGAGACAGTGTTAGTTCCATCCATCATTTCTTACAAGACGAAAGGAAGATTTAAGAGTGCTGCTCCTTTTTTTGCCCCCTTCTCGCCCTCTGCTTTCTTTTGTTTGTTTGTTTTGTTTTGATTTTAAAAGGGTGACCACTGTGAGATGTCATCTCTGAGCTGACCAGCCTCAGGTCAATTCAGAGTTATTTTCACTCATCTGATTGCATTAGACTTTGAAATGCGCTCAAGGAACGAGCCCCCACTGGGCCCCTATCAGACATACACATGTTCTGGGCAGAGGCCCCCAGCGAGCCGAGTGCCCGCCCTAAGTGAAGGCGGGCCTGAATATTCATCAGAGTCCAAAATTTGACATTTTTCATATGTGGGTATTGAGGCTCTTGCAGCACGCCAGTTGGTTGAGTGGACGGGTGAGCCTCACTAAGCTGCGTCGTACAGTTGGCCCAGGCCTTGGCAGTTGCGCCTGGGCACATACACACAAAGCAGGGCCGATACATCTTGAAGTGGCCACAGGCCTATGCAAAAGCAGTACTGTCGACGTACCTACCCCGGGGTCGTGTGCAAATGCAGCAAACGGCCCAAGTATGGAGACTGAGGCCATGCCGAACTGTAAACGGCCCAGGCCCTCAACTATAGTCTCGGGTCTGGGCGCAGGTACTGGGGCCCAAAAGGAAGCTACTGGAAGCTTCCATCCAGGCCACACGCAGCAACCAGGGGCTGCCACTTCCATATAGGAAGAAGAGCAGCAAGGGCTGGGGGATTCTGGCCCGCGCAGGCAATGCGGTCACGCTGCTGCGCTAGAGGCTGCGTGCTGCGTTGAGGCCAGAGCGCGTGCGGGCGCGTGGGTGGTGAAGTGGGGTGCTGGAGGGCAGCGGAGCGCTAGCAGCCATAGCCGGGCTGCAGGGCACTAAGGTGGAAGAGGGCGATCAGTGGTCTTCAGGAAGGAGGCGAGTGCGGGTGGACGGGGTCTGATGAGGGGAAGCGAGATACGTACCTGGTACATGAAAGAGGTCGGCTATGGTGTTGACGTCATGTGCATTGGTCTTCGAGAGTCGAAGTGAGCCTGTTGTGAGAATGCTGATGTAGGTAGGATATTGCTCTTATTTGGATGGGATCTCGGTGAATATGTGCTCTCTGTTTGTACACGACTACCTGGACATCTGTGTGATTTTGCAACTTGGTTTTCTGTATATTGTTCCTACTCGTATTGCTTGCATGTGCAAAAAAGAAGAAGGAAAAAAAAAAGAAAAGAATTCGACCTCACGTCTGTGTTTCAAGTTTCAAGTTTCAACAGTTCATAGGTGTACCAACTGAGCTAGGCCAGTTGGATCTTTCTCTGCTTTTTACGGGATGGAGACATTGGAGAGAACATTCTTTTTTTTTCTTTTTCTTTATTTTAATCCGCGACCTTATGCTCTCGGGTCCTTTCTATTCTGAGAAACGGGAGTCTGGTACTAGAAAAGACATCGTAGGGAAACACGAGCCAGAAGGGCCAAGGACAGGAACTAGGGTCGTGTCTTCCAGACTGCGTCCCAATTCTGGGGTGAAAAGTTGCTGTCTAGGGCCAGGAGTTAATCCCTGCGGTCAACTGGGTAGGAGTACCGAAAAGTCAACTGTCAAGCCCAATACAGGCACAGTAGACCAAGAGTCAGAGATTTTCCCAAAAAGCCATGTCGGCCAACAAATCCCACAATTCAAGGGCACAGCAAAGTTTCCAGGCTGCTGGGACCAAGGCACACAGGCCACAGATAAATTCTGACCTCAGAGATCAAGGAAATCTCAGCAGTTTGAGGAGGCAACCTGAGGCAAGTGTCCCATACCGTTGTCGGGCGGCTCCAGCCCTACGCCGCCCTTTACTTCCTTTACAAGGGCGCGCAACGGGGTTCGCATTTGTTGGTTTCTACCTGGCAGGGGCTCACCGGCCATGGGAAAATGCCACAACAGGTTGACGGAACGAGTGGCCGGGCTACGGCGTTCAGTTCGAGCAGGGCTCGAGCGTTGAACAGCGGTATCTTTGCAGAGAGAGCCTAAGACGTAAGCTACCACTGAACGCAAAGGGGCTACCACAGCGGACAACTGCCGAGGGGTCGGACAAGGGGGCGCGACAACGAAAGGTCGGAATGATACTAAAGGTCGGCAAAATAGCCGAGGGAACGGAGGCGTCAGAGCCTAAGACGTAAGCTACCGACGAACGCAAAGAGGCTACCACAGCGGACAACTGCCGAGGGGTCGGACAAGGGGGCACGACCGCGAAAGGTCGGAATGATACTAAAGGTCGGCATAATAGTCGAGGGAACGGAGGCGTCGGGTGTTTATCGTGAGGCTACGGACGTCTTAAGCGGTGGCGGTGTCCGAAGTCGCCTCGAGTAACCGAATTCTCAAGAACACCCTGCGTGAACAAGCGGTGGGATCGGGGCTACGCGGGGGCCTCGACACTAAGAGGAGAAGGGTGCGGGCCTAGGGCTCGGAAATGGACCTCCCGGCCTAGAGTTTTGGGCGGGCCTGCGTGACTTTCACAAGCGGGGATGGGACCACTTATGAGTGGGGACCACCAAGGCCGAGATAGGCCCGGGGCAGGTTCGGAAATAGGTCCGGTACCGGGGCGCTGCAAAAGGCCCGGTTCCCGACAAAAAGGGCTCTCCTCGACAAAGACCTTTCCGGGGCCCAAACAGGCTAGGGCATAGGGCCGGTACCAGGGCGCTGGAAAGTGCCCGACACGGATCGGCCGACGGCGGGTGAGAGCTGGCTGCTGGGAGCTGGTACCGTGGGACCAGCAAACTTTATAAGCCCAAGAGGGATCACTCTCGTGGGGTTTTGACTGGCGCACGAAGAGGCGCACGGGCTAGCACATGAGGTGTGCTGGCTCAGAAACGCACGGGGGGATTTTTCCCGAGGGGCGCACGAGACAGGGGCGGAGGGAACTGGCGCACAAAGCTAGCCCGCAGGGGGCTAGCTGGGGGAAGCACAGGGTGTGGCGGACGTACTTGCCTGCGAACAGGTACATGGTGCATCAAGGGGGCACGGACACGTACGAGGGAGCGGTGTACTCACATCACACATGAACAGACATGAAGCGAGAATCAAGTACACAGGGATGGGGGTTGTGAGTGATACGAGAGACTTACCTGGGCTTGCTGCGACGCCCACGGGGCGAGATATGCTCGTACTTCGGGAAGCTGTTGACGTCACCAGCTGCATCGAATCTGCACCTGTAGTTTGGGTGGCTCTGGCACTACGAACCGGGACGGGATGAGCGCCACGTTCATGCGCAGTACGAGGTAGAGAGAGAGAGAAGAGAGAGAGGGATAGAGGAGATAGCCGTGCGAGGAGAGCAAGGCTCGGATCTGCGCACGGGAGAGCGCAAGGGCGCACAGAGAGGAGAGAGAGAGAGAGTGAGAGAAGGAGCCACTGCGCAGGAAGTGTAGCGGGGGGCTGCGCGGGAAGCCGTGCGGGAGGCTGCGTGGAGAAGCTGCGCGAACAGCAGAGGAGCGCGGATAAGCGTCGAAGCAGAGCGGGCCCTGAGCGAGTGCGCGCGCGCATGAGAGTGGGAGAGAGAGAGAGAGAGAGAGAGAGAGAGAGAGAGAGAGAGAGAGAGAGAGAGAGAGAGAGAGAGAGAGAGAGAGAGAGAGAGAGAG